GGGGGGGAGGTTTAAATTCTCGGAGGGGAACAAGTCTGGAATGAAAACCTTTCTAAAAAATTGGTATTCTTGGAACAGTTCTTTACGGCTACAAAACAAGGCAACAGTGCTTCATAAGCAAAAAACACATGCAGCCTAGAGATGAAATGGAAAAAATGACTAATGAGACCATTCACACACAAGCATTTAAAAACACAACTAAAGCTCTTATTGGGTTCCAAAGAGTGGATGTTATTTATAATAATGCTTGAAATGCACACCAATGACTGGAAATTTAAACAACATGCCCATCAAAGGGGAGACTCAGGTTTCCAAACAGCCAGGATTACACTGCACTGATGTGAGCTCTGTGAATCACATTTGTCTAATGCAGAATTCCCGGAACCTGTGTCTTTTTTGTCATGTTTTTTCATCAATTATCATTTGCCTTTCCTGTTTCCATGTTATGCCAGAGAAAAACCATTATATTGAAGCCACAAGTGTTTTGCATTTGCTTCTTACACGAAGGGATGTTTTACTGTGTCCTCTGATTTCTCAACAGTATCCTGCCTGTTGAGACCTCAGCGTGTCACTCGCAGTACATTGAGGTCTTCGAATTAATGGTGGTGGAAGATTCAAAGACGCCCTCGGTTTCTTTAAAAACAGAACTAACATTCAGTAAAAGGTGGTGGTGGCTGATTAAGACAAGCACAGCTGGGAGAACGTCAGATTTCTGTGCAATCTTATTAGTTTTGACTTCTAAATAATGAATAGTTGAGATGGATCTGATTCTTCAGGCCTTTAGCAGTTATACATTAGCATATGTGAAGCAGTTGTTAATCAGTAGATTAGGTGTCTAGCTGTTTATAAGCTCAGTCACAAGAACTGAAATGACGAAAACACATGAGTGCTAATTAGGAACGTGCACACATCGTAACACTTGGGAGTTTGATGCTTCCCATCTGTCGCGTCATCTTTAGTCATGGCCTTGTGTCAGATGTGGCACTTTTAATCTAAATAACGTGACATTCCACATCTGTTTTCCATGGCAGTGACAAGAAAAGGAACAAGGTAACAGATCAGTGGGTGCTCATGTGAGCACATCAAGCCAAGCTGCATGGGTTGGGGCAGACTTTACTGCCCTCAGATGTTCGCCCTCCTCTCTCCCTCTTTCCCCCACCACAGTTCAGAGCAGCTGCAACAGGCGCACAACACCCTCTCCATCACAACAACTGCCACCAGCAGAAAGCAGGTCATGATGTGTTCCATCATTTCTGAGAAAGAAGGGGCGGCTTCTGCCGAGAGCAGCACTGCTGCCTTTTCTTAAGATGCAATTACCTAATAGATGCTCAGAAGTTGCCACCATAACTCTGCATTTTTTCTTATTTGCTTTGGCTGCAACATAAATTCTAACTCTAGTAGATTGTTTTGGCTATTATTTGCATTCAGTCCCAAAGTTAACCTAATTTTTTTAATTCTTGCTTCAGCATAAAAAATCAAGAAAAAATTGTGGGAAAAACAAGTTTAAGAGGGATGGATGGAGGGAACAGTATGAAGCAGTAATTAATACTCTGATCAGCAGAAATGTTAATGGGTTTTTATATGGAAGTACATAAAGACAAAAGCTGGTCTTGTTGTTTGGATAACTTTTTAAAACATGCTGGACTTCTGAGAAATTACTCAACTTAACTGACCTGGAGACAAATGTGGCATTGTAGTAGAGACTCTTGTTGAACTTTTGCTAGTCGTTCTATGGGAATTAATCACATTTACAACCTTCCTCTAAATAACCAACTTTGAGACTAACCATGTGGCAGCAGATGAGTTTTAAACAGAAGTTGCGTAAGTTGAAGTTGTTTGTTTTAGAGAAAACTGGATTTTCATGGGGCTGTATGGCCTTAGGAGGTTTAGTCTTGTATTGTTCAGTTCCATCTCAATCATATTACAAACTAGGGACCAGGGCGGTTTCCTTTCTCACAAGATACAACATTCTGCTTTTGGGTACCTGTTGAGTCCAGAGTCCAGGAATTAACATTCTATAAATACAGACCTGGTAAAAATACCTAGAAAGTTATTTTGAAATACATGTGTATGTATCAAACGATATTTTATGAAGCTGTGGAGATTTGAGTTGCTGGTGAAAAAAATAGCATCTCCCAAGACATTGGCAAAGTAATACAGAAGCGCACATTTTTTACTAAGATATCGCCTTCCTTGGCAACAGCACAAACTGAACATGCAGATTTCAGGCTTGAAGTCGGAGGTTTAGGAGAGTAGGTTGCTTTTTTTTTTAACAACAGTGACATTTTTCAAAATAACTTTTTAACTCTCAGCTACTACTATTGAATCCAGCTCCAGAAAACACAAACCAAACTATAAAACAAAAAGCCCAGGGGCGTCTTCTGGCTTCTGTTAATTGTCTGCAGGAGATTTGATTTCAATAGCACAACTGGATCTGGGTTTGGTTTCCAGCTGCTTGTTCAACACCAGCTTTCCTTGGAGCTTCTCCCCAGCGAGCTGTGCACGTCAGTGTGCCAGCAAGCGAGTCTGGAGGTCTGATGCCCCTGGAGCTGTGGTACCAACAAGCATTGCTACTGCAGCCCCAGGGGGAGCAGACCTCCAGGCATGCTTGTGGGGTGGTCCATGTTAGATACCGAGCAGTTCCTCACTAATAGCCTGTGAGTGAGCAGGCAGGAGTCACTGTGGAGACCGGCCCTTAAGAGACTCTCCTGCCCGCCACAACATCAGGGTCTTCAGCCTGGAGAGAATGAGATTAGAGGATCATATTTTTTTATCTTCTGAGTATGCTTTGAGGCTATTTCTACACTTCTCTTGAGGATGTTGGTTTGCCCTTGTGTCAGACATCTACGATTTATCCAGCTAAACCCCACTCTCTCTCAGCTCTCTATCTTTGCATCATTGTTGTCTTGAACAGTTTCATATGAGCCTCACTGAGGGAAGAATGAAGCCATTTGCTTCTAGGGAAACAGTGGTGCTTCAATAAGACAGAAAAAAACCCACCTGTACACAGAATTAATAACACTAATATCAGGCACACAGAGAACACCTTAAAAATAATGAGCAAATGTAACTCACTAGAAGCTTTGTGGCACCTCTCGGGATCATAAGTATTATGACTGTGTTGTGCAAAAAGGCCCAGAAGCATTTTGAGCTTATTTTGGGTTAACTGTTTATGCTGTTCCTGTTCCCAGAGTGAGAGTTTGGACTTGTTTCCCACTTTAGACTCCAGTACTCTGGTTTTTTGCTTGTTTGTGCCCTCCTCCCTCTTTCTCTGTGCTCTAGGATTTTACTTCTCAAAATTGTTGCACAACACCATTCTTTAAGCTGCCTTACATTTGTTGTTCTCATTGCATGCAGGTGGACTCAGTTACGTCATTTATTCTTTGTTTTAACCAGCCAAGGCTTGAGCAGATCCCTCATTACAGGGTTAATTGCATTTTTTCCCAGAGTTCCCAGCAGCAGGTCTGGTTGTCTCTCTTTCTCCTGTGGCAGGCGCGTTGCTGACCTGCAGTGGCATACACAGGTGTGCACAAGAGCTGATCAGCACTTACCATGGTGGATCACTGCTTCCAGCCAAAATTTGGGCATATAGGAAGGGTTTTTCAGTTAACACCACATTTTCAAGAGAAGTATTAAGTAGCTGGCAGTAAATCTTTATGGACTTTATTGACCTGAACTTTATGTCCTTGCAGCCATGTTAGTGGGAAATCCAAACCATGCTTAAATTGGACCCATGTTTTATGAATCCTCTGGAGCTGAAGTGCAGGGGTTTATTTCACCAGGGCAGCAGGATTCATGCTGTACCTTTTCCCACAGGCCAGCGAGAAGCAGGTTCACTTCATTGTGTCACGGCAGACCAGGCAGCAGACCCCAGACATCTTGCAGGAGACAGGCTGGAGTTACAGCAACGGCAGCCCGCAGCCCTGTCCTGCCGAGAGAAACAACCCTGGCAAGGTGAGGGCACGAGCGCTCGCGTGGTTCCTCTGCTGTTTGTGGGATAGGGGACTGGGAGGGCAGCTAGCACTTTAGTGTCTCGGGGTGTTATCTTCTGTTTCTGTCACCAGAAGAAGCATGTCTTATTTTGCAATACAACCATGAAAGCTGTGCTCCTCATTATTTACACACTGCTTCTGCCCTGACTCCATCTGGGACGGGGAGGGAAGGAGAAGGTGAAAGGCAGTGGTGGGGCAGGGAGATGACGAGCTCACAGCACCCTGGCCATGGGCATGGACCTGGCCAGTGGTGTAAACCAGCACAGGGCAATGCACTCCAACAAAAATAAGAGGTTTATCTGAAGTTTCTCCATCTGCAGCAAAGTCTTCAGGCAAAAAGCTTTTGTGTGCTGACCTGAGAGATTCCCATAAGCTGCTTGAAAATCATGGTAATTATTAGTCCGTTGCTCATTTCTCAAGATACCCATGCTCTGACCTGGCTGACAGTTCAGCGGCAGACGGTGGCTGTGGTCTCCACAGCCGCTGCAAGCATACTGTCTTTCTGTGGAGCTTTGGATCCAAAACACGTTGGTTCTGCTCTGGCAGCACCTGGCACTCACATGGGATATGGGGACTACAGGAGCCGGCAATGTGCAGCACAGGCGGACCCGACCCAGAGCCACGTGGCACAGAGCAATAATCTCACCCAAATACGGCTCTGGTTACCAAACTGTCCCTCCAGCCGCTGCTCTGTACCCGGTTACATCGTGTATTTAGTGCATTTAGGTTTGCAATATGCTCTCTGCATAAGGCAGAGAGACTGTCATGGTCAAATATATAAGCTTTTAAAGCAGAAACAAACGCAGCAAGAGCTTTGAAAACACCCTTTCTGAATCTACTCAACATTATTCTTTCCACTATAGACAGAACAAGGTAGGTCCTTGCAGGAGCTGAATTTGTTTATTTGACTAAATTTAAAGTCATGCGCCTGGCTAATTTGCATTAATTGCTCTGAGTGTCACCACTTACGCAAACCCTTGTGGGCTGGTCCCCTGTCCACCCCTACCACGGGTGCATCAGGGAGGCAGACAGGCAGGGCTGGTTTAAATCCATCCCAATGGGCAACCAGATGTGTCCTTAAAGGGACCTTTGGACTGAACCCCCTGTCAGATTGGATGCACAGCTATCAGCCAGGAGACAAGCCTAGCTCTGCATTTCAAAAGGTACCCATTTTTTGCAGTTTTTCTTTTTTTTTTTTTTAAAAAAAAGCTACATTATTCAGTGTTTTTATGTGTAAAAAATATACTAGTGTCTATTTATGTATTTCTGGTTTTCCTTTCCCATGAGGTCACAATCACAGCCCATGTTAGGTGAGATTGAATCAGCAGGAGTTAAACCAGAAAGCAGAGTCAATGCTCGGTAGCTACTACCCAGTGCCCAACTATTCATGCATCTGCAAGGCATTACTTCCTAATGAAGTAATGATTTCCTTAGGGAGATATGTGTAGGACAACAATTAGCTTGTGCTGCTACTGTATGATTTCTAGCAAAGCTCTGAGCACCTGTTAGCTGTACCATGTTGATCTAATTATTTGATACCATGTGATTATTTGGGGACATAACTTGTCTTCCGTAAACCGCCCTAGATCCTCACTTTCTCTTCCTGTACCAAGAGGTGTTAGATGGGAATTCTTGGTAGATTCAACATTATTTTGGCTAGCTGTGAGATTGAAGGGCCAATGTTGACCTTGCAACAGTCTTTTAAAGACTAATGAATTATCTTTCATTGCATAGGTCACAGCTTTTAGGGGGATTTCCAGTTTGCCACATGAGATGAGTGCTACGTAAGTCCTTGAGTGGGCGTGCTGCCGTGGGCTTCTGTCCAGTGCCACCATTTGGGCACTTTCCAGGCAAGATCACAGCCAAAAAAAAAAAAAAAGAAAATTCTGAGCTGTTCCTAGATCCTTTTAGCTTTGTCTGTGTGCAGTGAATGGCTTATATCAGAGAAAATGCTCTGGCAATAGATCAGGAGATCCATACAGCCAGGGGACATGATGAGCCTCAGGGACCGGGGGCTTTTGGTGTGATAACAATCATCACTGGAGTGTTATTTGCCTTTTTATAGGGTATGAGTATGTCAGTTTGAATTTCTCATGCTTTTTCGCTGAAGGTTTAATGGAACATCATTCAGAATTCAAGATCTTTAAGCTCAATGATTTGGCAGACTTAGAATGTTATTTGTTTTTAAATAGACATTAGTGCAGGAGTAACACTGGCCTGTACAGTGTCCTAACACAGCACGCGCTCCTGTTGAAAACCAAGGCAGTGCTTGCCTGTTGGCCAGACGTTACTGCCAAGGGAGTTTCCTATGTGTGCGTGGTTTGATGACTCTGCTGCCTGCTGCCATCAGTGGGATTGCTTTATTATGTGTGATTGATAGAGAGATTGCCAACTGATGTGAATTCTGATTAATTTTAAGTTGGTTTTTTTTTTTGTCCCTTGAGCTTACTGTAGGAGGTGGTATTAGCAGGTCAGGAATGCTCTCTTTGAGGAAAGCAGCTCTTTCTGTAGAGCATGTAGGCAAACATGGGCTGAAATCTGCTCTCAAGCCTTGGCTATATTCAGCAGCAAGAATGAATTCTAGCTTCCAGCCGCCATCTTGCTCATATGACGGCTCAGGAACTGCTTTTGGCCAAGCCATTGCCCTCATGACAACCTGCATCCATCTGGAACTCACAAGGAGGCAACTCTCTTTCAGGCCAATGCCAGCGGCAATCAGCCACTCAGATAACAAGGCACTGGAGAAAGAGGAGGACGGTCTGTAGTGACCATGTCCTTCTCTGGTGGCAGTGATGCTGGGCATATGGTGTGCCAGGAGATTGGTCCCGCACAGGCTCTCACCAAGCTGTTTTCCTATGTACAGAGACAGGGGAGGCGCAGCCCAAACTGTTCTGGCTGCTGCCTGGATTCAGAAAAGAGAAGATGTCAGAAACACTTTCTTGTGGAGCTGAGGTTGTTAAGCCAGGCTGTAATGAGTAAATGGGCCAGACTGGATTTCTTTGAAGTGAGTGGGAGCTTTGCCATTAGTTAAATAGCACTTGTTTTTGATTGGAACTGTTTTCTTGCTCCTTTCTAACAAATTGTCTAGTAAATCTGTCACCCTGTTGCTTGAGGAGGCGACGTTTCCTGACTATATGAGCAGGTTAGCCTTCAGGTGAAGTACATTTTCCAGACAGACACAGCTACGTCTTTTGCCTGCAAGATACATATCATGGCTTTGATCTTGTGATAATCTATTGTAAATATTTATTTTCCAGTAAATATACAGAAAAGAAAAAAACTTAAAAAGAGGAGGAGATGAACTGTCATGTTTTTCTTCCCCTGACCCCCGAGGTCACTTCAGAATGACAGAGGAGGACAATTGTTTAGAAGAGAATGCATTGACATGCAGTCACTGATAAACATTGCCTTCTAACTGGTTTACTCATTATCAGTTGTACCTCCAAGAAAGCTCTACGTGTGTTTACTAAGGAAGGCTTTACTTTCCTTTCATCACTGCCTTTGTCTCAACAGAGTCGCCTCAATTCCTTTCTATCTGCAACTATGTAAAAAATGACATGTGGAAGAGTAGCTTCAAAGGAAAACTGGTCCTGCACAGTTGAACACACAAGTACCAGTGCTTTTTATGATTCTTCATTGAAATGTAACTGGACAATACACTACCAAGCACTGCATTGAAATCTGCTTCTCTCTGCACTGATTCCTCAAAAACAGAGCATTAGTTCTTTTATCAGCTAATGTTTTTGGTGTCTGAGACATGATGGATACTGCATAAGTAACAGGATTGCTCTGAACACTCGGAGCTGCAAGTCTGATTCTAATTTCATGTTTTGCTACAAAATTTCAGACTGCGTTTTTGTGAAAATTTGTAGTGTCCCTATCCCACGTGCTTCAGGAAGAGGCATTTTCCTGATGAAAAGTCGTTCCTTTGCAAGGGAAAAAGGACAATGTTTTTGAACAAACATGGATGAAATATTTGGTTTAGTTTGCACAAAGATAAAACTACTATGTTTAAAACATTTATACCTTAAAGACAAAGGTGAAATGTTAAAACGATCTGGACTAGAACTTTTATATTTTTTTTAAAATGGAATGTTGTAAAACCTTCAGAAATTTTTAGGTTCATTTGCAAGCCATAAGCCAAATTAGTCTGACACAGTGCCTGTGTTCTGCATGGATGACACGTGATATGTCCAAACGACTATACCAGTTGGGGTTTTGTCCCAGTGACTACGAGAAGACCTTTTCCACTGAGCTCTTTGCGTTTTGTTTCTGGATCTCTGTGGTAGCCACTGTTGTTCTGCTCAAGCATCTAGAAATCCTTGGCTAAATTGTTAAAAGGTTCTGGATTTTGTTGTCAATGTTGCATCACAGAAATCCTGAAGTGGAGTGAGTTCCACCAAAGATACCTTTAAAAAAAACACAAAACAGAGATATAGTCTGCCCTACTCCCATAAAAACTCCCTTCCCTTGTCTTCCTCCATCCATCTCCACCACTGCGGGAGCAGCCATGGACTTGCCTGCTCCACTTTCTGTGCTCGTGGCCCAGGAATAGAGGCGGAATGTCTTTGTGGGGTCTTGGATTTCTAAGAAGGGATTAATGTGGATTTAAATGAGTTCTATAGATTATTTTTGCACATTATAAAGGTGAGGTCATACTTATGAATGAGAAGGTTGGGAGTCTTTTTAATATACATTTGAAATGTATTTAGCAGCATGTTCTTATATCTACACATGAGACTGGAATGGATGGTGCTTTTTCTGCAAGACAGGCTGGGATCTTCAGGAGTTGATGCCAGGAGCACAGCTTATTAAACACTTAAGGAACTCAAAGCAATTAACATTTAAATCCAGGTTTTCTGGAGAAGCACCCTTGTATTTCCAACTCTTCTGTAAGAGCTGGATGCACTGTAAACATGACATTCAGTTCACAGGTTTTGATGCAGCTTGTGTTGTCTCTCCATCCCAAGGCCACCTGTGAGTTTGTTTCATCCTCGCTCATAGTTACTGCATGATCAGCGATGTGTATGTAACTTTTCCTGTTCAGAGGGAAGAATATGGGGATGAATGTCCTCAGACAGTAGAAATGGCTGTCCCAAAGTGTCCTTTTAAGCACTAGCACTAGGAAGAGCACCCTGAAAGCTGCTGGTTCTTGATTCTATAAATGTCCTTCTCTTTTCCTGAACAGAAACACGTATTCTTCGAGTGTATTCCCACCAGTAACTTATATAGAAACACAGAAATCTGGAAGAGCAAATGAAGTGTCTATCTTCTCATCTGAACCCAAGAGTTTTATTCCTTTAACCCAGGTGGACCACTTCTCATTAACTATACAGATGATGTTCAGACTGCAAGCAGCAAGATAAGAACTGTGACCTGATAGTCAAGATATGCGGACCATCAGTGATATTAATATCAAGAGTTTTGTTTTTGTTTTTTTTTTCCCCTTACTTACATTTCAAAGATCTACTTCTATTAGTCTCAACACTAAAACACTTCTGAATTTGGTGGGAGCAGTGCCTGACTTTAACTGTTAAAGCACAGATTATCTCTGTGGTAGCTCTGACTCCACAGATGCCTAAGCCCTGGGGAGAGTCATGCCTGCCATCTGGCCAGGCATGGCAGGCGGCTGTGAAGTGCTTTGGTATTCCCTCATCGAATATTCAGTTCAGTAGAAACTGTCTAAGCTGTCAGGGAGGTCCCCATGCCCACTGTGTTTATTGTTGCTGTTTTCTCCATCACAGAGCACCCTTCATGCTGTCACCTGTCATGAGAAGGTGGTGGCTGTCCGGAAAGATCACACAGAATCACTGGGAATGACTGTAGCAGGCGGAGCATCTAACCGGGAATGGGATTTGCCTATCTATGTGATAAGTGTCGAACCTGGAGGAGTTATCAGCAGAGACAGCAGGATAAAAACAGGTAAAAAGAGGGGATTTTGAAAGCCTGCTTTAATTCAAAGGCTTCCTTTGAAAAACAGATGTATAGTGAAAGAGCGTCACACCCTGACGTCTTCAGCCATCCCATAGTTACTGGAATGTGTCAGATTAGAAGGTCTCAAGTCAGCTACCAGAAAAGGTAGCAGTAACCATCTCTGTGAACTGGGATGTAGGCATATTCTGTTAGCAAAAAAAACCCTATAGTTTTTCACAGGAAAATGAGCTTGCACCACCATCTCCTAACTACGGAAATTTCATTGTGCAGTCTTCATGGGTTTTTAATGTAAATTTTTGTGCTTGTTTGTCACATCATTCATGGCTTTGAAAGAAATATAAAGGAGCAGAATACCCATCATATATGAAGAAATGTTAGTGCCTTGTGGCTCAATAACGTGTCTGGAAACATTGGCTTTATAGCTCCATTTTGCTCTTGATGTAACAGAGTGTTACAACTAATAGCTTCTCCCCCTCTGCCTGAATAAGCTGTTTGAGTAAGACGAGGGGCATGTTTCGTCAGTGGATTTTGCAGGAATAGATAGGCAGTAGAAGAATGGTGAAACTCTTAGCTTTCAGGATGTTACATCTCCAAGAGCCAAGTACCTCAGTACCCTGCAACCAGCAACCACACAGCTCCCCTCCCCTTGCCCTTCAGCCCAGTCACTGCCCAGAAGCTGGAGGGAAACCCTGAGTGTGAAAGAAGTGAAGGCACCCAGAAGTGGGGCAGAACAGCTGCAGCCCAGCCAAGCCCCATTAGCCTGGGTCGCAGCGCTTGGCACCCATGGGAAACTCCCCTTTGCAGGAGCTATGGCTGCTCATCAAAACTCATGTAAGAACATGACAACAGGAGCAAAACAGCAGGTTTCCACTTTCCTCCTGCTGGGAAATGACTGCCTCTCAGTGGGATATATTTTCCAAAAAATATTCATCATGAGGCAGCATGGAAAATTCAGCCTAGTTAATTTGATAAAATTAGAAACAAATGAATACGTGATGTTATAACAGCACTACAAGCCTCCATGGTTTAGAGCAGCCATTAGGCTGTTGTCTGTCTCATAGGGGAAACCACAAGAAGAGGTTAATGTTCGTGACGTGCTGCCTGGACTGCTGGTGAGTACAGCCCCTGCCTGCAGAAATATGTAGGCAAAACACAGAGGGTACCTGGGGAAGCCCTGGCGTTGGAGCATACCACAGAGGGTAGCGGAGCACTTGGCACTGTGGCTGCTTGCATGACATTAATGGTGTCTTTATTGTTCTCCCTGTAGTAATTGAGGTCAACTTTGCATTTTTCTCCAAAGCTGCTGCGCCTGCATTATAAATAAGGCATACAGAAACATGTTTTGGCTGGCGGCCATTCAAACAGGCATTAACATTAAAATAATAATATGTTATTCTGCATAGCAAACTTTACAAAGAGCCAGCTGGAGTGGCAGTCCTCAGCTTAGGGAGTTCTGAGAGAAAACCAGCTTCAAACTTTCAGGTTTCAAGCTCAGGTTGAGTGCAAAAGTTGTTAGCTGGAAATTGGCTTTGGCGACCTGGACTAGCATCAGGTGCCTGCACCAAAGCTTGCTGGTACAGCAGGACCCCAGCTGTGCCATTCAGCTCTGGATGCAGCACATGACATGACAAGAAGCCAGGACCAAAGCCTCTGTCCGGCCTGGTGATGCTTCTGTGTGTGGGGATCTAGCCCCTTCCCTCATGATTGAGGCACGTTTACTAGCATATGCTTCACATCCACATTAAACGATAGTATTAACAAACAGTCTCATCAGGCAGCAAGTTCTTGCCCGTGACTTTGACTCACTTGTTCATGGGGGTGGGGAGAGGATCCTGGAAACACTTGCAGGGTCTTTTATCATCCAATTTATCGGTCTCAGGTGACATCCTCCTGAACGTGAACGGGATTGACCTGACGGGGGTCAGCCGGAGCGAGGCTGTCGCCTTGCTGAAAAACACCAACTCATCAGTGGTGCTCAAAGCCCTAGAGATGAGAGCATGCGAAGCCCAGGAGGAGCGGGGCCGCCTGCCACCCCCCGAGGCCACGCAAGCAACATCTGAGAGCAGTGAGTGGTCACCTTCCTGGATTATGTGGCTGGGGCTGCCACGGTAAGTCCACAGATTGCGTCCTCTTGCTGAAGGGGAGTGGGAGGAAAGATTTGTATTTTCTGGCAGTTCTTTCTTTTGGCTTGATTCATTGCACTGACATCTTAATTAAATCCAGGCTTTGTCACAGACTCAACTCTAAATACCTCCCTTTTGTAAATGGGTATGTGTACATGGAAAAATAGACATGCAGATCCCCTTGCAAGGGAGGAAAGGATCCCAAATTGTTCCAGTCTTGAAAACATATCTGGCACTTAGGGAGTGAAAGGAAAAGCTTTCAGGGATACAGGAGCTTGCTGAACAGGGGTCTAGGCTCGACCACCCTGCAGAAGGCAGAGCTACCCCTCCTGCAGCTTTCAAGCTGCACAGCCCTCCTCCTTAGGCAAATCCCACTGAATTGTTTGAGTCTGCCCAGATGTTGCAAAGTGTGTGCAGTTGGCCGGTAACTCCGAATCACCTCTTTTAACCCCACCCCCGACTGAAAGAAGTACATTTGTCATACACAGGAAGCAGCTGTGTTGTCGTTTCAGTAAGGATAATGAAAGCCACATCGCATGTAGTTAAGTTCTCTCCAATGTACTTGGTGTGCAGGGTGCATACCTGCAGCTTCAGTGACATTTTGTAAAGTATTAAATGAGGACATGTTGTGAAGCTGTGAATAAGCAAAGCTAGCATCACACAGTTGAAACTGGTGTTCAGTTCTAAGGAATGAAGAATTTGGCTTACAAGTTACTTTTGCCCATACACCTACCCTGGCAGCAGTTCAGAGTGTCTCTGTTTTTTACAGGAGAGCACGAAAAGATGGTCTGCAGAACAGGTGGGCTTTTGCTCCAGGCACAGTTTCAGGACTCCATTTCCCAGTCTTGCATAGCAGGTTAGATGCTTTCCCTCCTGGCTTGAGCTGTTTTGAGCTTATTCACCTTGCAGCAAGGTCTTCTGTCAGGAACAGACATGTTTCAGGGCTTGGTTTGAGGCTAATGACTGTGTGACGTGCTGAAGCACTGCAAAAGCAGAAAGCAGGCTGTGCACGTCACCCGCAGATGAAAGACTCCTCCTCCAGTGGAGAGGACTACATCCTTATTCCTATGAAAGAAAAGCAGTAAAAAGAAAGAGCAGTAAATCAATGGCCCGTAACTTGCTACCCCAGGCAATGGTAAACTTTTCTCATCCAGTCTCACTGCAGACAGGCAGGCCCCTATTCCTGCTCACTTCTTCTGCACTCCTGAGCTTGACCAGCAGCATCATGAGGGCACTGGAGCATGGGTAATGCTCCCAGCAAGAGACAGCAAGCAGACTAGCTGCCTTATAGATGCTGCAATCTGCAATGCTGAGCCTTGCCTTAAATCACCATTCGTTGCTAGACAGACCGAAACAATTATACCCTGCCTACATCTGCTCTAACCCCACCTTTGTTGGCCTGTATAGAAAACCTGAGCTGCCTGGTCTTCATCTCCTACCACAGCTACCTGAAGTCCTTGTGTCCTCAGCAAGGTGATGGAGGTGAAGGACAGCTCCACAGTAGTGCAGGCTTGCACCCAGGGTTCACATCAGTCAGTTCCGCTTCACAGTTTGGGAAGAAAAGGTGTTTTTCCTATTTTAAAAGCAGTCTCTAAGCTCATGCTAACCCCCCTTCTCTAAAAGCTGTGTGTGTGAAGGCATTCCCACCCCTTTGGTCTGATTGAAAATCAGTCCCAGTGTCAGCAAGGCTGAAGACAGGAGTTCATTGTAACTCTATCCCCAGCTGCGATGCTGCGCACAGAGCATAGAGTGACCATTCTCTACCAATGTAGGGGATTGGTATGCTGAGCTGGTATGCTGCTCTGAACATCAGACCAAGACAGAGACCAACACTGATTAGACATAACAGTTACAAAGGTGCACTGCACCCTTGTTAGTAGCTGGTTGGTTGAGTAGGGGCACATGAGAATCACAGTTAAGTTTGCTCACTAGGTATTATCAGACCCTTCAGTCTTCCCCAGTATGACTCTCCAGGGCCCACACCAGTCATCTGGAAGTCTTTCAGCAAGTTCTCTCACTAGGACGTGAGATCACATTAACTCATTTTGCTCCAGGCTGAGCATTTAACTTTTCCCTAACTGCTTTTCAGTTTGCTTTTGGCAAGGATCACATCCCACTGGATCTCCAGGTATTGCCAGCAGTCTCAGGACATTTTCCAGGCTGTTAGAGGAAATTATTCTCTGTCCAAATACATGTCTGACAGGTCCATCTTGGCAAAGATGTCTGGTGTGCAACTATGTGGTAAGAGGGTGAAGATTCACCTACCTTAATTAAAACCGTTTACCAGAGTGACTGCTCCAAGACATGCTAGTGTAAGAACATTTGGTCCAGCTGATGGAAAAGCAGAAACGTCAAAATCATGATTATACAGGGTCATGCAAGATACTTGGGAAGATGGGCAGGACGGACCACACCTACACAAGAAAAATTGAACAAAGAGAAAAGGCAGTAAAACTGGTAGGCCAGGAACAGGCATGATTTAAAAAAAAAAAAAAAAAAAAAGAGGTGGCTGGATGGTGGATTCTTTAGATTCTGTCAACAAGGAAAAGCTGTGGCTCTAGACAAGCCGTGGCAGTGCAGTGTGAGTGTGTGTTCAGAGCAAGCAATGCGGGGAGCACAGAGGCAGCCTGACGTCGTGACTTAGAGTGGGATGCTCAGGCTTAGGAAACTGAGGGTAGAAGAGAATCTTTCTTTCTGTCTTCCAAAAACATAGTTTTGGTGAAAATCCTGTGAAAGATGACCCCATAAAATACGCTGAATTGAGCTAAACACTAGAGGATGCATACAGACCTCTGTCCTTGACTGATAAAGTAGAAAACAGGTTAAGATTAATGTTACCCAATTAAAAGTACCTTCCTCGCGTTTGAGGCTGATGTACTGTAAATGCCTAATTCCCCATACTAGCACAGAACTTGCCCTTTTCCCAGGGACTGCATACATGTTACAGAGATGGCACAGAAAAGAGACACAAATATTGAGAGTTATTATGAATATAAATTGACACCATTTTTCTGGATCAAGTCAGCAGCAGCAGAATCAGACAGGTTATCTGACTCCTTGCCCCAAAGCTCAAAGCCTTGGAAAAGCTGTCTTGCATAATTTAACATTAGTGGGTCTCACTGAAATTTCAGCCCTTTCCTTGCAAGATCTTAAAATTGGTTTTGGTCACTTTTTATATGGCTTGATAACACATAAACAACTCCTCTGTTCTTTCTGTAGTACAATCCAATATGTGGCAGTTATAAAATAGATGCACATGTGCATCTGACGTCTGTCAAAACTTGGCCTGCATGCAAGTGGACGGGCTGTGGGCTGGGCGTCGGGAAGAAATAGTGACGCAGGACCTTAAGCATCCCTGCCCAAAGACTTATTTCAGGGTAGCTAATTTAATTTTTGTTGTTGGGGAAGACAGGTCTCCTTTATTGTTGGAGGGAAATGCTGTTGTGAGGCATGCACAAAGGAAATAACGTGGAGCAGCTGGTGAAAAGCGTTTCCCTAGCCCCGTGATGTTTCTTCTACTCCTGCTTGTTTTTCCTGCTCTCCTTTCTTTGCTCTCAGATTTCTTCCCCCAGCTAGCACTTAAAAATACTTTATAGATCAGCCCGTCATAATTTACAAACGTTAGTACTTCACATGAGTGCTTTTCTTCATCCGCAAAGTGAGATGAGAAAGACAGGAGGTGGTCAAAGTCATTCTGCAAACCAGGGGTAGAACTGGATGTAAACCATGGAATTGGGACAAAAAACACCCCCCACCCCACCCCCCCCCAAACTATTGCCATCTGGGCTGTAGGGCTCTGATGGGAGCAATTCTCAACTATCACTGTACCCCACTGCCACCCACTTCCCCTCTGTGACGCGGCAAGGGAGGGAGTCATGCTCTTCGTACCTGTAATTGTTGAAGTCCTCCTGAAGACAGGCCTATTTTCATTCCCGGAGCATACTTGCACTTTGAGTAAAGCAGCAGGGAATCGTACATTTAACTACTTGAAAACAGGCACTTAAAAATTCTTTGTGCATCAGTAACTGACGCTCAGTTGTAGTATTTCTTACAATAGGACCCTGTGTCTAGGCACTGTTTATCCACAAATGTTGAATCTGAGGCAAGTTCACACATAAATTACTCCTTGTCCTCAGCTTTTGGAGTATTTGGAAGAAGACTGTGAGACGCTCCCTTCCAAGACAGAAGATGGTTCTCCTTGGACTGGTTGCCGTTTAGCAGGTTATAGCAGTTTAACTAAGTCAAAACACAGACTGGGGCTTTCCTCACCACAGAGAAGTAATTACTCAAACGCACTAACCATCTTTGGTTGATGCAAGTACTTATTTCATTTTCTCTCTGTGGTGCTTTCTAGCTTGTCTTTATTACTACACAACCATAAACAGACCCAAATGAACTAACTCCCTTTGGGCTGCTCTTTGCTCAGGCAGAGCAGGCATCTCTGCTTACCTACCAAACCGCTCAGAGCAAGCAGTACCCGTGCTATACGAAGCTCAGCTTTGCACACGCTGCCTCCCAGTATCCTTTTCACATTTCTGACAGCACTAACCAATAGCTGATGGATGGTGTACTGCCACGTTTATACCCTCTGTCCCATAGGATGGAGATAAGGAAACATCACTTTAAAGGCATAAACATCACCTAGCTCCTACTATTCCATCAAGAGTTAATATCTAGCTATGGCCAGTGTGATGGGTTGGACCTGGCCTGCACCAAGCACCTGCACAGCTCAACACCCCTAGCAGAAAGAGAGAAGATAGGAAGAACGAGAACAACTCATAGGTAAAGACAGGGCAATTACTCACCCATTACTGTTGTGGGCAAAACAAATTTGACTTGGGGCATTTAACTTCAAACATTTCATTACTAATTCAGGTATTGGGAACCAAAGGTGACAAACGTGAACACTTTGGGGAAACCCCTTTCCTCCCCTTTTTCCATACTCAGCTTCACTCCAGTAACTCTCCTCCCACCTGCCTCGTCTCCACTACCTTGTTGTCACAGCAGGTTACGCCTTGTCCCTTCGGTGAAGCAAAAGGCAGTGCAGGGGGTTAGAGTCAGGACAGAGTAGTTGCTCTCTGCTGCTCCTTGCTTCCTATGCGTTTCCTCTGCTCTGGCAGAGAGAGTAACCCTAATGCTAGTATGCCATGTCCCTTTTACTTAAATTTAGCATACACTTTGACAGCAAATACGTATTTATGCTTTCTGCACTGACAGAGACCATGTAACTGATAACCTTACAGACTGTTTCTACAGAATGCATGTAAGCCTTGTTTGTCTTCACTGCATTTTCTTCTCATGTCTTTACCTGCTCATCTGTTTCTTCTCTATGGTGTCAGGATTTAGCTGATCACTTCAATTTTGGCAATGTTCTTACGGCAGTCAGCGTAGCACTGGGTAGCAGAGACGCCTGCCCTCCAAAATCAACACTAGGTAATAGCACTAACGGCTGAATCCTGGCATCGCTTGGTCATGACCTTGATAAGTACCATCAAACATAGAGGGTTTAAGTGATTTTGCACATTGAAGTCCACAGATGGTGAAGTAATAATGCCTGGCTGCTGAGGAAAGAAGCAAACGTCGCCCGTTTCTTACATTAGCAGCCAGTGAATTCTTGTGTAAGTATTATGTACCTACCATCCTGGCAGCAGGTGAATATTTGTAGGTCCTGGGGGACTAATCTAGTATTACTATAAAATCCTGCTGTGAAATACAACAAAAGCATTATTAGGCAAACTTTTTAAAAAGCTAGACATATTGGTCTGTAAGATAGTTACTTATCATTCTACAGAAGAAGTGTCAGCTGTTTCTTGGAATCCTGAAGAGTCTCTGAATTGAGCTTGTAACAGTCGCCTGTTGTATACCAGGCTATAATTTCTGATTTGGAATAGCAAAAGGATTTTTGGGCTCTTCAATTATTTGTACACTGGGCACACAATCAGGGTACACTGCTGATGAGTGGGTTAAGTACTAAGGACAGAAATTTCGGATGATCTCTAACTAATTAAATTAATTTGTGGGGTTTTTTTTCCTGCTTAGTTAAAAAAAAAAAAAAAAGAAACAAAGCAGGTATTGAAATTAACATACTCAGAGCAACAGGCAAAGTGTAAGAGCCTAATAACCTTACTACTCTCGCTTTCCCCTATTCCTTGTTTCAGCTAAGCTTTGACTCAGCATAATGTACAGTATCATAAAATACATTCAAAACACAAATGGAGGGAGAAGCAGATTTCAGCTTTCTTACCATAAAATCTTGCGTTAATCACAGTGGCGAGGACAAGCTGTCTTCTTGACAGCAGCCTCAGTACTCCCAAGCACTGACTGACTTGGGTAGGTTTCTCGTCTTCCATGCTGTGACTAACCCCATTACTTGGTGGTAAGAAAAGCTCAGGACCCCTTCTTCTACTGATACTCTTTTTTTGTGTCATCTCTGTGATTTTTGCAATTCTGGCTCGTTTCATTGGCCTTGAATTTACCTTTGACATGCACCACAGTAACAAATACCTGATCACTTTTGGCACCGTTAATCACATATAGGCTCTTACCCAGAAGATGAAACAAGTCACTGGACTGTACAAGGTAGGTGAAATACAGTTTCTGGAATGATGGTTTACAAATATTAAATGCAGTCTTAGTAAAGTGTTTTTCTCCATCACTTTCAATTGCAACAAGATCATTTCCATAAATTCTTACCCTATGGAACAAGTTAATTTTTTCACCCCAAGACTACCTAGTAATTTTACTTTCAGGATAGATAACTGGTTGTAGAAAGCAGCACTACAACAACAGAAGGGAAGTGTAGGTGTCTAATACAGAGGAACTTTGGTGCTGTTTTGCATCTTCAAAACACACTATGTGTGTATGAAAAGGCAGATTCATCGTTTATGATTCATCAGAATCTAAATTTAACTGACATTTAATTAGACTGGTTTGTTTCAGCTATTTGTACAGCTGCAAAGAAATCGTATTACGAAGGAACACATCTGGAAGTCTTGGCTTCAGCATCGTTGGAGGTTATGAAGAACATACTGGGAACAAACCATTCTTTATCAAATCCATTGTAGGGGGAACACCAGCATATAATGACGGCAGAATTAGGTAATGATAATTATCTAATGAAAAGTAGCATTTAAGTAAATCTTTCATCGAGTTCATTTGTGGGTTTTTTTAAAAACAAGTTTTCATGAAGACAGTGTAGGGGAAAAAAAAGGACTCACTGATACAGAACTAACTCTGTCAGATCTGGAAATAGGACATAAGTGTCCTGAACTTTAATAGATTTGCCTTCATAGTTAAAATGTTTTCAGATGTCTAGCAATCACTAGTATATGAGTAAGTATAAAGGTAAATCAGTTTGATCTCGGGTAGTACAAAGCATGCCAGCACAGAGAAGCTTTCCCATGTCCCCAGCTCAAAAAACCAGCAACCAACCAACCACCTTCCCTGCAAACACCAATACAATTTAAGAGACTAAATGCAGAATTACAGAGCAAATTTAAATCAATTAAGAAGTCTTAAAACAGTTTGTTCAGGACACAGATCATTCCCATCTGAAAGAACTATATCCTATTTTCTTTCAACTATGTCTAATTAATTACAAAGTTATAAGGAAAAAAACCCGAACAACAGAAGTATTTTTACCTGCTTTATTCCCTTATCCACGAACAGTAGTTAGCCAGAGAAGGAATAGTAATACTAACTTCTATCCCTTCCTCCCAGCTTAAGGACGTACTTTGGCATTTACAAACATCTGAGATAAGTCACCTTGTTTAATTCTTCTCTCATATCTGCCTTTGGTTTTCCAGGTGCGGTGATATCCTCCTTGCTGTCAATGGCAGGAACACATCAGGAATGATGCATGCCTGCTTGGCAAGGATGCTCAAAGAACTGAAAGGAAAAATTACTCTCACAATTGCGTCCTGGCCTGGCACATTTTTATAAAACAAGTCTTCATGGAGAGTAAGACAAGTAATTGAACACAGAAAAAAAAAAAAAAGCAACATTAGTCTTTGCTTTTTGGAGGGGTCAAGTATGTGTTTATAAAGAAAAGGTTTCTAAAATTTCAACCCGCATGTCAAGAAAAGTCAAGTTTGGGCAAAGCAGGGACACGTGTCAGAAAATCACTTGAGTGATTTAAGCTACAGACTTATGTCTTTCCTTCCCCATGTTCTTAAGGTTTTTTTGTTGTTTTTTTATATATATATATATTTAATGCATTATAGTAATAATGAAATTTAAGGAGCAGCAGCTCCTGCTCACCCATTTTATTTTGATTTACAAAAAGAAATCCTTGAATAACTTATGGAAAAAATTCTTGCAATTTTTCTAGTTTTTATCCAACACATTAATAGCACTTTGATTATGTGTACCTTTTCATGGTCAGCATGAAGCTGGTATTTTCAAGACTTTCAAGTACTGTTTGTTAGTCTGTAAAACTGTGAATTAAATTTCTAAAATAATTAAAAATAATTGTAACTGTGTACTTGTACAGATATTATTTTCATCCCTGGTATGTTTGATTATTACTATTAAATCTAGGAGTTTTATATAGATTTATTGGTTTTAAGGAAGTACACTGCACCCTGCTAATACCATGAAGTAAGTCTTCTAAATAGCACCCTGACAGGGCCGTACAATTTTTGCAGGACTGCCATGTCAATCGCACTTGATAGTGTTATGGATGGAGTAAATCTGAAAGTGACGATGGTCTTATATTTGTCTTAAAACAGTTCTTTGCATTCCTCTACAAATTACCAATGTTCCAAAGTCTCACTTTTTCCTCACAAGCTAGCACGGGGAAGGGGATATGTTTGTTAATCCCTATCATGTTAAGGACAGCTGTTCCCTTAGAACAAAAGCTAAAATGAACTTTCTCTTAAGCCACTGAAAAGCAGCAGGGATGATTATCCAGCTTAATTCACGCTCACGCACCCACACAAACCAGACACAATTACCAAGTGTATGATCACCACACTCAGCGTTCCATTAGACCAAGAACAACCATTCCCAGTTTCCTTAATATTTTTCATTTCGCCTTAGTACAAGGTTCTTGAAGAGTCTGCAATTCCTGCCTGTCCCTGTAGTAAAGGACGACCTTTTCAAATATAAACTCCAAAAGCTACACTAAACCCACACTGTTCCAGATGTTGGTATATAATAAAGTGGATGCATGCTGTTTCTAAAGTCAGTAAAAGAACGACCTTCCCGCTGGCTTATGAAAAAAGGAGACAATTTAATACAAAGAATTTAAGCCCTACATATATTGATATTGTAAGAGCATAAGCCTCTAGCTGTAAGATGTTTTCTCACTGTTTTTTAAAAGACAAAGTCAGTCCAGGAATCTTAACATGAAAAATTCATTCTTTTATTTTCAAAAAAACCAAAGTAACCTTTGATTTCAAACTAACAGAACAAGATTAGGAGCAAATCATTTTAATATCCAGAAAAATAACAAGATTTATAGTAATCTATTTCTGGCACTAATATATATGCAAGTAGGCAAAAATCACACAAGCCTATTCCACAGGGGCAGCTTCAGTGTTTTCCTGTTCAGCAGCGGGTTCACCGCTGGCTTCTTTTCCTTCTTTGCTTCTTTTGGATTTTTTGTGTTTGTGCCTTCTGTGGCTGTCCCCTTCTTCACTGTCGTGACGACGTCTGCTGTTACTAAAAAAAAAAAAAAAAAAGAGAAAGAGAGAGAGAGAAATACCTCGAACAACTGCATGACACTCCAGGCCCCATTTAATTACAGAGTAGCAAAAAAAGACAGTCATCTTTGAAAACTGGCACCTGCTCCTGTTCTGACCCATATAGTATTTGGATGTCAGCACCAAACTGAATTTTTCATGGAATGGTACACACATCCACCCATCCTGCACATTTTGTTAGGAAGCTGGAATGAGCTTTCAGATTTGTAACCCATATTCTAATAGCAATACTTTTAATAGTGTCAGGTCCCTATTGGCATCCCTTAATGTTTTAACATTCTTATTGATTCCACTCCCTGGACTTAACCTTTACTTCTAACTAAGGATCAAGTGGAACAATTTCAATCAAATGACCATGGGGGTTATTTTACTTAATAACAACTACACTGTTGGAATTCTTACATTAATGGTTAATGCTGCTGAATGCCGGCTTCACTCCACTTCTTTCTGACCCACCTTTTTAACTCTTCTTTCCCCAAATCTGTAATTTCTGTTCAGTAGCTATGACTGTCATGTACATCATTCAATATGAAGTTACTGAGGACCCCCATGGCTTTTTATCTGTCCACATTTTATACAGCAGACTTGTTCCAAGTAGTGCATCGAAGTGTTTACAGTCTTTCCACAAAACTCCTCTTTGTTTGGGGATCTTTTAAAAGTTTACTTTATTTTTTTAAACTGGTCAAGTCTTTCATATCCTATTAAAAAAAAAAAATCAAACCTTCGAGATGACTTGTGTCTAGTCTCTTCTTTCTCTCTGTGTCTCCTGTCTCTGTGTCGGTCTTCTTTCTCTCTACTTGTTCTATGGCGGTCATAGCCTCTTTCTGCATAGTCTCTGTATCTGTATCGTTCTTCATCACTGATTAAAAAAGAAGCTATTTTCAGGACAGTAACACCAAGCAGTATATACATTAAAAAAAATAATTCTTACACACTTTCAAGATAAATGACAGAAAAATCTTAGTGTTGCTTCTGGGTTTCTAAACAAGATCCACAACATATGCTAAAAGGACATTAAAGCTCTTCACCTTACACACTAGACTTCAGTAGTTAATGTAACGTAACAAAAGGCAACTGTTCAATAAAAACAGAAGGAAAAAAGAATACAACAATGTCACATTAAGTTTATACAGGAATTATCAAGCAGTTAGCTTAAACCTGTATCTAGCTGCAAGCAAAGTTCAATTCTACATAAACTTTAGCAATGTTTTCAGATCAGGGTGCTCAGAACGCTCAACAATTATCAGCACACTTTTTGACTACTATACCATTTGGGTAAATGAAATTAAATTTTGGTACATTTGATCTATTTCCTTACATCAGCTTCAAGAAAGAAAAAGCTAGGTGCAAAGAGATCAGTAAAATACATTCAACGTTTTGAGTTGCTTTTAAAATTAAATTCTCTTCAGTGCCAATGCTATCTCTACTTCCACTCCTCTCTTGGATTACCTACCATGAGTGCTGCCCTGCCACAACGCTAGTAAAAACCCCTAAATATTACAGGCTATACAAGAATTTAAAGGCTTTACTTAAGACATATTTTCGTATTTTGACTTGATGAACAGGGCCGTTCTAAGAGTTTAATGAACTTTTTAAAAAAGACGAGAGCAGTACCTGTAGTTAGCCAACACTACATTAGCATAGCTTAAAAAGGTATGCTCATGTCATCATTTACCTACCAAGAAAAATCCTACCCAGATATAGTGTCCAGTATCACTTAACAATGAGACTTCAATACAAATCAACTTACTGTATCATAGAATCACAGAATGGTTTGGGTTGGAAGGGACCTTAAAGGCCATCTAGTTCCAACCTCCCTGCCATGGGCAGGGACACCTTCCACTAGAGCAGGTTGCTCAAAGCCCCATCCAGTCTGGCCTTGGTTGTAACTGTAACTATATATCACATGAAGTCTTTGTAACCATAGTTTCGAATATCCCTACCAAGTCCTAAAAAAAGGCACACTGTGACTAGGCTTTTCTATGCCAATAATTAAAAACGGTAACAATTTAGATACTATTAAGCTGACAAAAGCCAGGACTTTCATGCTTTCTGACTTTGCCAAGATTTACCATAAAAGGAAGTCTCTTTCTGAGGTCCCTGACAGCAGCAGAACTGATCAGACAGATCATGCAAGGAGAATAGCTCAAGCCTAAAGAGCTTTTTCATGTCCTGGAGCAGTGAGAACTTACATCAAAACAATCTTAACCTGCCATCACTTGGGAAATGGCCACAGGATCCAAGTTAAAGACATTACATTAGTGATTATTACAGCTATGCATGAAGGGGGAATGCCTGAAGCAAGAGCACTAGTCTTTCTATATGAAACTCTGTATGATTATATCATTAAGTAAATTTCAAAAATTAGCAATTTAAGACACTGTAGAGAAGCACCAAATACCCTGCAGAAAATCCTGTTTTTCTAAAGGGCATTAAAAATATTCACACATCAAATCAGGAAAACTACAGCTATTACTAAAGAACTCAGTTATGATTTGTCACTAACATGACCGCATTGATTGGTGCCTGTATTGTTATAAAATCTTATAACATTTATAAGATTTTATAATGCACTTTATAACTACAGATCTGAGAGTAAGCTGATCAAATCCTGCAAAGTACATTTGTGACAGACCACAGAATCACAGAATGGTTGAGGTTGGAAGGCATGACTGGAGGTCATCTGGTCCAAACCCCTAATTAAGCAGGGCCTCCAGGACCACTAGTTGCTCAGGACCATGTCCAGATGGCTTTTGGGTATCTCCAAGGATGGACGCTCCACCACCTCTCTGGCCAACCTGTGCCAGTGCTCAGTCACCCTTACAGGCATTGTGCCACTATCACTTCTGTAAACTACTGTCCCCCTCTTAAGACAAAACCAAAATTCAACTGCATTAAATACTTTTTTAAACAACTATGTTAAATCCAACATGTCTCTCCCACGAGAAAACCCTACAACAGAGACACAGCAACTTATCAAAGATGAAGGCAGTGCATCCACAGAACATGAATTCTGATCACATGACTCCATAGGCAGCTTAAGGCACCCTAGGTTATAGACCAAGGAGTGAAAATAAATTCTTTTGCTCCACTGAGATGTCCACAACCTAGACAGGTAAACCAAAGCAGTCTGGGATGAGGAGAAGGGAGAAAATAAATCCCAAATCTTACAATGCTGTAACCTCAAGTCCTATGCCTTTAACCTGTATCGATCATTTACCATTGTTTTACCCTCAAGTTTCTACTTGACTATCGGGGGAAGGAGGAAAGTGTAGGGGAGACATTTACAATCCCAGTCCCTTTCTACTGAGCATTTCTTCTCAAGAGAAAACCTACTCAAGGCTTCAAGGAAAGGGGTAAAACAAACAGAAGATTTTTCTTATCAACTGCCACAGAAAGATGAAGGTTGGTATCAACTGCTAGTCTCTAGGACAAGTCATACTGAAGACTAGCCTAGCTTACATAGCAGTTAGTTCTGCAGTTCAGAAGGACAGTCTTCATTCAATCTATGTTTGAAGTGTGTCTTAACTTGGTGTATAATAAAGCAGCACCATAAAGACAGCATGTGCCTGGTGAAGTCCAGTTATAAAGCTCAGTTTCAGAACACACACACACCCCCCAAAAAAAGTATGTTAAAAATTAAATTAAAATTCAGTTCTGAAATCTACCAAAAGTTATAACCAAAGATAAAGTCTGATTTGAACAACAGGAAATTTTTGTTAGACATGGGATTCCTGTACTAACACACCTTTAAAGTGCCACTAGTCATCACATT